CTGCTGTGCTGGGGACTCCATCGAGAGGAGAACAGTGCCGCTCTTGGCAGAGGGCTGCTGCACAGGGTTTGCCTTTTCCTTTCTGCGTCCCACATTCTTCCCTCTGTCTCCGTCCTGTGTGAGGTGGTCGTCTGCCATCAGCTGTGAGTCCCACAAACACAGCCCCGTGCATGAAGACCTCTTTCAGTGCCCGCAGAACAGCAGTGTTAGGAGCCGATCTTGCAGCTCATCGAACTCACGCAGTGCCTCGGCATGGGCGGCACGGTCCCTGTGCCAGGCGCTGGAAGAGGTTGGGTGGCTCGGCTGTCTGGAAAGCTGGGGGCAAGATGATGTCATCAGGCATGTTCTCATTGCCAAAGAAGAAGTGGTCGAGGCATTTACCCTGCAGGCAGCAGCGCAGGTAGCGCATGATATCCTGCAGCCGCAGCAGGAAATCCCTGCTGCGCCAGCCTGACAGGGGTGTGGTGGTCAGGAGGTGCATCACAGCTGTCTTCAGGGTATAGGTGGAAAAGCCTGTGCCCACCAGGATGTGGGCACACAGCTGCAGGCATTTGAGGTGGAAGCTGTCATGGGGGGCCTGCCTGGCCATATGCCTGAAGAACTTCACCTCTGCCACAGCATAGCTCTCTGGCCACATTGTGCTTGGGGTGAGGATGGCCTCTGCAGTCTGGCTGCTCAGGAAGATGTCCGAGTCGCCTTGCTGCACCCCAAACATGATCTCAATGCAGAAGCTTTCGTTGTCACCATTTCTCACTTGGAATTTGCAGGAGCGGCTGACGGGCAGCATCTTTAGATGGTATTTGGACGACTGAGGCAAAACCGCCCAGGCAGCTTTTACCAGAAGATGGAACCAGCGGGCAATTTTCCGCACATCTAGGTAGGAGTCGGTGCAGAGGGTGCTTAGGAGGCTGGGACCCTCCTCCTCGGGGTGGTGAAGGAAGCACAGCAGGTTCTCCACCAGCTGCTCCCTCGTGCAGGTGCACTCCAGCTCCACGCGGATGCGGAAGTTCCTCGCCGGCATCTCCCCCGTGTTGCTCGGCTCCAGGTGGAAGGCATGCCCATGGGGGGGCTGCAGGGGCACGAGCAGGCAGTAGACAATGTCATCCTGACAGGGACTCCAACCTTCGAAGGCACTGCCCACGCCAATGGCTGGTTGCAGCACCGGGAAGAAAGTATTTGATAAGAGCACTTGGAAGACACGGACGAGGTTGCCCACCAAGTCCTTCACAACCTCGCAGTCTTTGGCCAGGTTCTGAATTGGCCCATGTATGTGCTCCTCAAAAAACCTTCCCACGTCATTTGCATCATCATTGTCTTCTGCTTCTTCTGCTTCCTCCTCGTTGTTGCTGGAGCTCTCCTCATCGCTGCTGCTGTCCACCTCATAGCTTCTTTTCCTGAGCCACCAGCAGAGCCCGAGGAGCAGGACAAGGACTCCGGCAATCAGCCAGAACTGCCACTGCTGCAAGGCAGCCAAGAGCTGGCCTCCCCAGGCAATGCTGCGCGGCTCCTGGCTCCTCTGCTCCAGCTCCTGCAGCAGGCGAGTCATCTCGCGGTTGAGCAGCTCCGCACGCTGCTGCATGCGCTCGCGTGTGGCCTCATCCAGCTCGTCACCAACCATCTGGGGGAGCTGGAAGATGCTTTGCAGAAGCACGGC